CGCTGTGTGTGTGTGTGTGTGTGTGTGTGTGTGTGTGTGTGTGTGTGTAAGCTTGTTGACTAACAATAACCTCTGTTCATTGCAGATTGCTAAACTAAAACAACAGCTGCAGCAGCGCAGCAAACCTGCAGTCTCAGGGGGGCACGATAAAGACCGCCAGTGTGGCTATCCTCAAGGGAGCTGTAGCCTAGGAACTACTCAGGTGCTTACTGTCATCAGTACACATAAACATACCTCACAGCTTACTTCATCCATGCATGTGTGTGCACATTTCACACTGACACAGGCACCTGCCACATAGAATACATAGACAAAATCACACAGATTTGTACTTTTGTTACAGAACTGATATAATTCATTTCACCAAGATTTAACACTATATTATTGCTCCTCACTTGTGTGCTGCCCTCTGCCCAGGTGAGGTTCCTGTTGATATGTAACTCCTGGCCCAGTGGCAGTGATGCATCATAATACCCTACGGTCACCAACACAATGCTGCCACTCTCACTTTTCTGCCAGTTAACCAGCTCATATGTGGCCACAGGATCCCCATTGGCATCAAATGACACAGGATAACCATTCTGGGAAAAATTTACTTTCTTCAGCTGAGTAAGAACCTGTGAGGTTGGAATAAGATAATGTACAAAACATTATTTAATAAAATGTAGATTATAATTAAAATAAATAATGCACTAGGCTTTTAATTTATTTGTTTTAAGTGACCTGTTTGGGCTCGATCCTGGTGAGTTTATCACACTGAGTAGTAGAATTAGTCTCCTGACACACAGCATTATGAATGGCATGTGCTATTGCATAAACAGCCTTGTACACCATGTTAGTGATTCGGAGTTCAGATGTGTCAGTGTACGGGTTCTGGAGCTTCTGTATGTCTTCAGTTCCATCGCACACCTTCTTGTCTGTGGCAGAACCTAAAAACATACAGACACAGAGACAGGTGTCTTTTACTTAGCTCTTGGTTCCAGCAGGTGGTGTTTTGGGGTTACTGGCAGGATAGTTCCTGTTGCTGTGGTAAGCATATTCACTTCCTATTTGACAACGCACTGTGCTTTGCCTGTTACTGGATTGGTCACAGATCCTTTTTAGATTTAAAAGTCACTGATTTCTAGATTTCACTGAACACTGAATAATTTGTGAATCATAACATACGCTTGCACTACTCAAGCACTGAAGTGTTAAAAAATATCCTACTAATTTCACATTTCATTTGCTGCTTTAGGTCCACTAAATGATAGCAGTCTTTTTTACTCTGCCTCTTTTAGTGATAATGGAATTTTTTATAAATGTAAGATTCTAGCAGCACTGGAAACCAGGCTCACTGAATTGGAAGCACAACTCCAGACCATGGCAAACTGCATAGCTAGCCATGCCCATTTAGCTGGTGCAGGTCCTCCTAGACCTAGCCCAGTCCTAGTTAGATGACCTCCAGCAAAATGTCCTGAGCAGCTCGGACTCCAGCAAGGTGGCTGGATGACATTTTCCAAGAGACATAGCTCGAAACAAATAGCCATGGTTCACAACAAGCCTGTTCACATTTCAAATCAATTTTCACCACTCACTGATACACTCGTTAAGAAACCCACTTGTTATGTCTTGATGCTTTTCTGTTCTCTTTCCTCTATCCACTCACCCCAACAGGTCAAGGCAGAAGGCTGCCCATCAAGAGCCCAGTTCTATTGGAGACGTCTTCCATTAAAGGGATTTTTCCCTGTCGCCTGTCACCAAGTGCTTGCTCAAGGGGGGTTTGTTGGGCTTTTCTTTGTAATACTGTAAGGTCTAGACTTTACTATGTAACCTGCCCTGAGGTAAATGTTGTGGTGATTTGGTGCTATACAAATAAAATTGGATTGAATTGAACAACTCTGAGCAGAAAGTCAAGACCTTGCAGAAAAAAATTAGATGTGATCTGGTTGATGTAAGCAGCTTGATAAATGAGCCTGATACCCAGATGTTGTCACCTACAGAATCTTTTCATCAAGATCCTGAGTGACAGTGAATTCTGGTCGTCATCCAGAATTCATAGACCTGTAGATACATGTGTAACTCTCATTCTATTTCATTCTTTCTGACTGCCAGAGATGGTATGTAATACCTGGATGACATGCACCAATAAAGTCACAAGGAAACTGCAATTTCTGTGCCTCAGCTGCAAACTAAAGATGTAGACAGAATAATTGTCACAGCAAGATGGGAGGTGGCCACATTAAACCTGCAGTAATGGGCAAAAATACAAGGTGAAACCCAGGTTGCTGCAGCACAGATGTCACTTGGCGGAACACCTGTCAATGCAGCCCACAATGTAGAAATGCTCCTTAGGAATGGTAATTCGCATGAGGGATCTACAGGCCCTGAGCCTATAAGCCTGAGATACAATGTTTATAACACAGTGGAGGAGCCTATTTTCAGACAGGGCACAACCTCTCTGATGTCCACCATAACAAACAACCAGTGCCTCAGACCTACAAAACCCATCCACCATCTATACATGTCCTCAGGTCCTGAACAGGACAAAGCAGTTCAAAATTGTCAGGGTTGCTCTCTCTGCAGACACCGGTGTCCCAGGAATGTCCTGCAACTGTTGTAAATCTGTCTAACAATCACCTGGCCTACATGGCCTCCAAGTTCACATTCAGTCTCCACTGGTTCCTTGTTTAACACAGACTATGACATTTTGGCTCCCGTTCTGGCATACTGCCCAATTCTACTAACTTGTAAGTAAGACTGTAACTTTTGTTGCTACACACTCTGCTGAGTACTTTATCTGCTGTGTGGAATCCTGCCTCTGACATTGTTTGCTGCAGTGCACCTCACACTTGTTCCTGTCAGCCTTTATCCACACAGCCGTGGCTTCCGTCATCGACACCATTCCATCTGGGCCAGTTTCTCTGCAGAAACCCTCTCTGCTCACCTCAGCTCATCATCCAACTCAACAGTCCACTTTCAGCAGCTCATCTCTCCAACACCATCACATCTGGGCCAGCCGCTCTGCAACCTTTCCTACTCACCTCAGCTCACCACTCAACTCAGCAGTCCATCTCCAGCAACTCATCTCTCCGGTGTCACTCCACCTGGGCCAGCTAATCCAGCTGTGGTACAGCTCACAACTCCACTCCCCAAAGCAAGTAGTGTGAAAACTGGGAAGGAAGTGGCACTCCACTAAGTCAGAAGAATATGGCTTATCCTGGAAAAGTAGTTTAATAACACATAAAAAGCTCTACATAGTACTAGAACTGCATATAATTCATCACTAATGATGAAAATAAAAATTCCAGGTTTCTTTTCAGCAATGTAGCCAGGCTGACAAAGAGCCACAGTGCGGTTGAGCTTAGTATTCCCTTGGATCTCAGTAGTAATGACTTCATGAGCTTCTTTACAAATAAAATCACAACTAATAGAGAACAAATTAATGTGACCCTTCCCACAACTCTCATAGATCATTTATCAAGTACAACAGCTTCAGACATCTGTAAGACATCATTTACATTTAGACTGTTTCTCTCCCATAGATCTCTCTGAATTGACCTCAGAAGTTGCTTCATCTAAATCACCAACATGTCTCTTAGACCACATCCTAACTAGACTGCTCAAAGACTTTTTACCCATAATCAACACATCCATTTTAGATCTGGTCAACCTTTTTCTTTTAACAGGTTATGTTCTACAGGCTTTTAAGGTTGCTGTAATTAAGCTTCTACTCAGAAAGCCTACTCTTGACGCAGGAGTTCTAGCTAATAATAGACCAATTTCCAATCTCCCCTTTATTTCTAAAATTCTTAAAAAAGCTGTTGCAGAGCAGTTATGTAACCACTTACACAAGAACAATTTGAGTATTTTCATTCAGGATTTAGAGCCCATCATCATATAGAAACGTCACTGGTAAAAGTCACCAACGATCTCCTCCTTGTCTCAGATAACGGACTCGTCTTTATACTTGTCCTCTTAGATCTCAGTGCTGCTTTTGACACCACTGATCACCACATCTTATTACAGAGACTAAAACATGTTATTGGATTTAACAGAACCGCACTAAGTTGATTTAAATCTTATTTATCAGATCAATTCCAGTTTGTTCATGTTAATGATGAATCTTCCACACAGACTAAAGTTAGTCACAGTGTTCCACAGGGTTCTGTGTTAGGTCCATTTCTCTTTACTTTATACATTCTCCCCTTAGGCCATATTATCAGGAAACGCAGCATAAATTTCCATTCCAATGCAGATGCTGACTCCGAGGGAGCTGCCAAGGGGCTCCGTTGAGAAGCTGGCAGACCACGGGGAACCAAATCCTCTCTAACCAATACAGAGCCACTAGCAATACTCTGTTGCTACACTTGGCTATTCTGTGAAGCATCAGCCTAAGAAATGGGACTGGAGGGAAGCATATGGGAGGTCATCTGGCCACAAATACACCAGTGCATCCCAACCCAGTGGACTGGTCGATTCTACAGGGAGTGTGTGTTTGAACCTCCTGCAGAGACTGACTGGATCTGGTGCCCCCTTGGTGGTTCACAGGGAAGACTGTAGATGGACCATCTGGCTGAACAAGAACATCCTTTCCCTCCAGGGACAGATAGAAATGTCTGATCAAGACCCACTGCATGCAGTCCTAATACATACTGTGTTGGTGCCTCTGCTGGGGACTCCAGGTCCCACTGATTGTTTAAATAGCAATTGATGTTAAAATGTGTTGAAAATAAATACGTCATTTGGAATCATTGTGTATAACAACCTAACTCAAGCTCATGTACATATTCTGTAATTGATTCATACTAATAAATAATAAATGTAATTTTTTATCTTTGTTTATCTTGGTGGTAAAGACCTTGTGCATATTATGTGCTTGTGTTTAGGGCCTTATTGATAATATTGTGAAACCACTATAGTCTGGTTCACACCATATCTTCTCCAACACAGCAGAGTGCCTACACTTGACCTGAAAGATGATCATATCAAGCAGTATACCCCATCTGACCACAGGAACACAGGAAGCTCTACTTAGACAGACAGTCAACAAAACAACACAACCAGAAGGACCCACCTTATTTACAAATCACTGTAATTTTCTCACCTTTTTCCAGCCTGCAGTTGAACACATCCTCCCAGAACTCAGTCAGAACTGGAGAAGCTGCAACTTTAGAGGGAGAGAGATCCAGCAGGAAGTCTCTCAGACCTGGGATGACAGATTTCTGAATGGCAAATCCAATGGTTCCAGCAAAGAAGGTGAACCTCATCATGTCTGGATGAGTTATCCAGGACTCACTGCCTATCCACTGGCGAGGTGGGGAAGACTCATGAGACAACTCGTCCAGCAGGAGCCTCATGTCTCCAGTAGATGAAAATGCCACAACAACCATAGCTGTTGACCTAGAAAAATATTAAAGTGGATTATATTAATCAAATATAAACAATTCAGTTTGAAATGTCTCAAGAATTGAACTAGATTACAGCAGACATGGTGATGCAAAAAGATGAATTGCCAATTTGCCACAAAGATGAAATAATATAATAATCATTCTCCAGTCCTCTCTTTGACTAAATCTTGTTGTTTTGTGTGCAAAAATGCAGTGTCAACAAAATAAACACAAGCACTGGCTGAGATGTAGAAACCTGCGGATAACATCAGCCACTCTCTGGATCCTGCTGCGTGGTTGGGTCCGATGGAAAGATTCAGAGTATTCAACACAGATCCCCTCTTTGTGCGCTGCATCCAGGAAAGACACCATGCCATTATTTCCATAATCTGTATCTGACCGGACAGCACCTATCCAAGTCCATCCAAAGTGTTTCACCAGCTTGGCCAGTGCAACAGCCTGGAACTGATCACTGGGGATTGTTCTGAAGAAACTCGGGTACTGACGCTTATCAGATAGGCATGCACAAGTGGAAGAATGGCTCACCTGAAGGAAAACAACATGGTAGGATAATTCTATAATGGCACTGTCAAAAATCAGTACGGGTATATTCTAAATTTAAAAGTTTGCCAAAAAGTCAAAATATTTACTTGAGGAATATTAAAAGACCCAACGACGCGTGAAAGACTAATGGATGGTGAGGATGCAGACTCACCAACAACAGCCATCACTGTACTAGATTTAGTACAATTGTTGCCGGTATCAAACACAAGGTCCAACCCATTAGAAAGCTGAGAAGCCACACTGACTGCCACAGTCACTGAGGCGCATGAGTCATGGATCTGATAACCGAGCCTGATGCCTGGTAGCAGCTTTGTACTGTTGTTAATCTCCTCAATGGCAAAGACCATTGCACATGAGATGCTAAGTTCTAAAGCGTCAATGCTGGAGACAGATATTCATGTTTAAATATAAGCTAGATATGATAAAGACAATGATATTCACAGAAAACACAGAGTCAAGGAGAGCTTCATTTTAAGTAGATGAAACTGTAAGTATCAAAATTCAGGAACATTATCTTTGTTGTCTTACAATACTGAACATGAAAGCAACACCCACCAATTAGTTCAATCATCCAAAAGAATTTATGAAACCTTTCTACATATTCAGTCTTCTACTGTTAACCACTGGATATTGGAGATGATTTTATGAATTTTATGCAGATGTGTCACTGCATCTGTAAGGACCAACATTCAGCAACATTATATTTTCAGTTGAAAAACACAAACATTCCTTTTTTCCACATATAGCCACAATCTCCTGTTTTTGTGAATATAGTACCATTTATATGACCTAAAGCTGATTTGGCCAATAATGTGAAAAAATTGAAATTACTCTTTAAGTTTTCAATTCTACAAAAAATAAATATATTAAAATTTATAATATCATATGAAAAACATGTCTTTCCCACACAGTCACAGCCTTTTATCCCCCACTTCTCCCTCTTACTAACCTCCCTGTGCACTGCAATGGCTCTGGCCTGGTGGTGTAGTTATGCTTCACTGTGTGCATGTTGTAGTGAATAGAGAAAACACCTCCAATAACATAGTCACCATCCACTGAGAATGCAGGTGGATGAGCTGTACCCAGCAGCTCACACCTCAAAGATGAAGCCTCAGTACTGACCCCAGCACCAGCTCTAACCTCTGCACACCCAGCACTTTGTTTCACACCATCCCCACAAAAATTTAAGGCAAAGGCTGAGTTCAGCTCAAACAAACCCAGAGCCAATCTCAGACCAATAAAAAGAGTGGAGATCTCCATCCCTGAAATGCATGTGTGCTTTATTGTATTTTCAATGGTGTATATAGCATTTGGAACAAATGTGTCCCTCCTTCTACTATACGTCAGCTTACTATTCATCAGAGAGAAGACATCCTTGCTCAGTGGTCTGTGCTTAATTCCATGTATTTTAGATTGTTGGGCTGCATGTACTAAGTAACCTCCACACAAAGCTCCTGGTTTCTTTCACCTTTAGTAAACTTACCTTTGTGAACACCAGGTTTATCCCTTATGTTGTCCTATCCTTTTCTTGGCTTTTCACTTAAGCTTTAGACTTGTTCATGTGAACAATTCACTGATGAAAAGTGATTTTGCTAAACAAAAGTTTAATGTTGTTCAGTGGAAACATCTCAATGATTTGAAGTGTATTGGTCTCAGTGTTATTCTTTCCACAAATGACTTTCATTGTATTATCTCTATAAAGACAATATTCTGATAGTGTGTTTTATAAATACTTGGATACCATTCTTAAAGAACTTGGAATAAAGAGTTATCATGGGTGATTTTCTCACCGATTAGGAAAAAGCTTAAATGTAGATGGAACCTTAATCAGACTGACTTCTGTTAAATGTTTTTAATAAGTATTTTGTTGAATCTGTCATTGCTATGGCTTTAAAATTCCCAAGAAAATTTGAAAACATGACTTCTCCTGACATAAGGAAAACTATATTAAAAATGCCAGCTGTCTCCCCCTCACTTGTTGGCAAAAGCAGCCTTTACAGATAACAATTATTTCATTAAACTTGATGAATCACTACTCATCAAATGATTGCCAAGTGTAACCCTGTTAATTTGGCCCCATAAAGCCCTAATGTATTGTGTAGATGTAAGCGCTTGCCAGACTTAGTGCAATTCATGGGTTTCATCACTAGGTGGCAGTGTACTAAAACTGGACTAGAGCAGAATGTTCTTTTTTTCCCCTCTCTTGGCATCTACAGTGGTCCCTCCTTAATCGCGGGAGGTACGTTTTAAAAATAACCCGCAATAGGCGTAGTAGTGAGCTTTATTTTTTACAATTATTATAGATGTTTTAAGGCTGTAAAACCCCTCACTACACACTTTATACACTTTTCTCAGACAGGCATTAACATTTTCACACTTTTCTCTCTTGTTTAAACACTCTCAAAGTTCAAACCTTCATAGAAAAATAATAAATATAAAATATAAATAAATAAAAATACTGTATAAACGTTTTCCTATAAATAATAATGATGGATTTTAGAACTAACAAATTTAATTTCTGTACTGTGCAGTAGACACGGCATGCAAAAAGCATGCAAAGAGCATGCAAAATTGTACTAAAAAAAAAATCAGCGAAACTGTGAGGCCGCGAAAGGTGAACCGCGTTATAGCAAGGGACCACAGTATCTTGCTGGAGCAGGTATAAGTACGCTGGAGAAGAAAAAAAAGCGGCAAAAAAAAGACAGGCCGCAAATTATTGTGGTTTTGATTCAAGAGCAAAATTGATTTGTAAACTTTGTACAAACAAGATATATCCTCGCCGAACTGTGCTTTGAACTCCATTGGAACTTGAACTAAACCCTTGTGAAACTGTGGTTGTCTCGGTGAGTCATGATCACTATTTTATGCTACACTAGCATACTATAGTCACTGGGAAATGATGTAGATGACTATAAAATGATGATTCAGCCCTACTGTTGTTAAAAACCAGTCGGGGTAACACTAAAAAATAACAGTGGTAACTGCTCACAGTGTACATTTTATTTTTTGTTTACCAAAATCTGTCCTTTGGTCCTATGGGAAATGTCATTGACCATGAGCTGTTGGCTTGGTACAAGTTGCACAAGCTTAGTTTTACACAGCACACAATCTTATGTCAGTGTATTGGGTGACATGCAAGACTAATTTTATATTGTTTATTGTACTTGTGATCATACTTGGAGCCGATTATACAAATGATTTATGCCTATAAAGGGGGAACATGTTTATTTTGGGACATTTATACCAAATTTTAGGTTAAATATACTAAACGAATGGACTATGGAGTGGTGATACAAATGCAAAAAGGACACCTAGTTTGTAAATAGCGGTTAATTCTCTGCACATTTTTTGTAGACTGGTTTTTATAGAAGCTTCTTCTGGTTCTGGATTCCTGGTTCATCTTCTGAAGTTGGTTCCCTCCTCGTTCGCCCTGATGCCTGGGTCCACCTCCTCTACTAACAGCGCTGCAACGGCTCCATCGTTGGTTGAACATTGAGTATTGGGTGGGGGGGGGGGGGTGCGCTAGGTGATTGTGCATTGAATGAAGTTCTTTAAATAATAATTGCACGCCAGTTTAACTACAGCCTGTTGTCCTGCACTCATTGGGGTGGAACCTATAAGCCCTTTCAACTATACAGCTTATGTATACTGCCAACCTCCTCATTGAACCTAGTCTTTGATAACCCTATCTTTAGATTCCTAGTGCTGCTACGAGTAGTACTACCACTGTAGGGTTACACAAGCATTATGGTTTGAGTAAAAAAAGTGCTTTTTGATGGTCTACTTTATGGTTAATTATGTTAATGACCGATTGCTTATGATATATGTTTTAAACCAAAGTTAACCTTTCTCAACCAATCAGGTGAAGCCACTGTTCAAACCAGCAAATAAACTAAGACTTCCATCTCTCCTTTGTTCAGAATAAGTTTGTTCATTGAAATGCTTGTTTTCATCTGTGTCCCTTGAAAGCTATTTTTCCAAGGTTCTCTGTCCACCATAACAAACAACCAGTGCCTCAGACATACAGAACCCATCCGCCATCAATACATGTCCTCAGGTCCTGAATAGGACAAAGCAGATCAAAAGCAACAAGCAATTCTGCTCCTGTTAGTTCTGGAGCAAAGCTACCAGCCTCCCTGTGAAAGACACTCAATATTGTTGCCCCTGTGAAAAAGAAGCAATGTAACAGATGAAGGCTAGCCCATGGTACAGCTCACAAATCCGCTCCTTTAAGCAAACAGTGTGAAAACTCAAATTGATAGTTGTGAACCAAGCCCTTGCTAATACAACTTGGAGAACATCTACTGTGCAAAGCATGCAAAAACCTTCAGGAACTGGTTCAACAACTGAGATCCAACATTAGGTGAAAGCCACCATTATTCTTTGAAACTATGAAGCAAGTCAAATAAAACCCACACAACTGCATTGTGCAGGGAGAGACAACTGATGCCTGGTCCCTGAGAGTCAGGCCCTGTTCCCCAGCAGCACTGTGGCAGTTCTACCCTTTGGCACCTGAAAAGGCTCACACTAAATCTTCTCCAATACAGCAGAGTGCCTACACTTCACAGGTAACGACCCTCACTGATACTGGGCTGTAACGACTCAGTCGTTAATGGACAGTGTTGGCCTTCTAAGGACTGAAACCACACCGAGGGGGATAAATATCTCCAACTCAACACCAGTCAGTCAGAACTGATGAAGCCTCTTGGATGAGAGGTGAAACGTCTTCGATCTAGAAATCCAAGTCTAGTTGATTTCCAAGGTTATTTCGGTTGCGGTTTACTATGACCTGGATGACTGAGAATCTGCACAGATACAGTGTCAAGGAGAGCTTCATTTTAAGTAGATGAATCTGTAAGTACCAAAATTCAGGAACATTATATTTGTTGTCTTACAATACATGAAAGCAACACTCACCAATTAGTTCAATCATCCAAAAGAATTTATGAAACCTCTCTACATATTCAGTCTTCTACTGTTAACCAGATTGGAGATTATGTTAATTTTATGCAGATGCGTCACTGCATCTGTAAGGACCAACATTCAGCAACATATTTTCAGTTAAAAAACACAAACATTCCTTTTTTCCACATATAGCCACAATCTCCTGTTTATATGCATATAGTATCTGAAATTTATATGACATAAAGCTGATTTGGCTAATATTGTGAAAAATTACTCTTTAAGTTTTCAATTCTACACAAAAGCACAGCAAAACAAAAAACATTTATAACATCATGTGAAGAAAAAAATTTCTTTCCCACACAGTTACAGCCTTTTATCCCCCACTTCTCCCTCTTACTAACCTCCCTGTGCACTGCAATGGCTCTGGCCTGGTGGTGTAGTTATGCTTCACTGTGTGCATGTTTGTGTGTATGGAGAAAACACCTCCAATAACATAGTCACCATCCACTGAGAATGCAGGTAGACGAGCTGTACCCAGCAGCTCACACTTCACAGATGAAGCCTCAGTACTGACCCCAGCACCAGCTTTAACCTCTGCACACCCAGCACATCCCCACAAAAATTTAAGGCAAAGGCTGAGTTCAGCTCAAACAAACCCAGAGCCAATCTCAGACCAATAAAAAGAGTGGAGATCTCCATCCC